AACGGTTTATTTTTGTTGTCAATTTAAAAAAAATGATCGATAAACAAAACAATATGTGCAAAATTTTTTTGATTGTTCGTGTTGAATTAAAATTTTTTTTTGGATTTTGACCATTTGAGAGAGATGGTGGGTAAAAAAAACATTGATTTTGACCATTTGAAGGATAGTGGATGATCTAATTTCCTTTTGGAGAAAACAATAAAATCGTTGATTAATGAAAAAATTTCCTTTCGGGGAAAACAAATAAAATACGTCGATTGATTAAGAAAAAAAGCTTGGTTAATTTTTTTTAAAACAATCGAAATTTGTAAATGACTTTTGATGTTTGCATGAAGCTTATTCTTTTATAGCGATAAACGAAAAAACAACACAAGGAAAAGATCAGGAAGAAAGAATTTAACAATCGAAATTCGCAAATGGCTTTTGATTCACACGAGGGTTCTTCTTTGCGAAAGATCATTTTTTCTTTTAATTAAGAAAAAAAAAGCTTAGTTGATTTTTTTAACAATTGAAATTTATTCTATTCTTTTATGGGATACCAACCATTTCATTGGATTAAATTTATTCCATAATTTTTATTTGTGTAATCTAAAAAAAATAAAATTAAACAGAAAAAGTAAACTGTTAAATACAAGACGTATGACGACATACGAAACTTCCAAAGCAGGTTTGTAAAATATACCGATGAACGTTTATCAATTATTGAATAGCTTGTATCGAAATAAGTGTTAAAAGTTAAGATCTATGAATGAATCTGTTTGTAAAATATATTTATTGGGCGTTTTATCAATTATTAAAATAATTATATAGGCGGGCTTGGTAGAAGTAAGCGTTAAAGTCAAGATCTATTTGCAAATCAAGTTTCCAAAATGAACGTTTATTATTATAGGCAGGTGGTTTGATCAAAATGAGTCTTAAAGTCGAGATCTATGAAGCTGTTTGTAAAATATATTTAATTAACGTTTTATCATTCAATAACTACATAGGCGGGTTTGATCGGACAAGATCTATATAATTAGATTGTTAATGGTTAATAATGGAATTTTATTACATGCAAAAAAAAAATTTTTTTGAGTTGTAAATTTTGTTTTATTAAATAAATTTGTTTGATTTTTTCATACATCGTTCATGTTTCCTCTTGATCGTATATCTTAAATTGGTTGCGTTTGATATTCGTTATATTAAGGTTATTTTGATTATATCGAGAGATATCGTCAAGAAAAGAGTTAGGAAGAGAGTTATTCTTCAACCAAGTCGAAAACTAACCCTCTAAATCCATTTTTGAGCAGTACGATTTAATTTATTAGACTATTTCAAATGGTTGCTTCCAACTTCTTAAATTCGAACCATTTGTTAACGAAACAACTGTTGGTGAAGTGATTGTTGACAATGTTTTATATTTTTACGTTATCAAATTCACGATTTTTGATTGGTCGATCAACAATTGCGTGGGCTAAAATTTTGTGTTACCGGAACGGTCTTTGAATTAATTGAATCGTGTATTTTTTATTATTATAGTGCTATGAAACACTCGGTGTAGTGGTATCTTTATTTTTTGACATCTTGTATAACGTTGTATAATGATAAATGATTTCATGGTTTGAATGTGCTCACCATCTGTAAACTTGATTGCTTGAAGATGGACAGGGACGTCGTAGAAAGTTGAGTTTCGTGCGCTGAAATGGCCCGAGAGGAATTTCTCTACGAAAAAACGAAAAAAAAATGTGGGGACAGCCGTCCTATTTGTATTTTTTTGAATTAATAAAATAGACTATTGTCTTGACCTGAGTGATGTTGTTGTGTGAGTAAAAGACACGAAACTCGCTGTCATGTTTTCGTTTAAAAACATGTTTAAATTTGAAAGTTATGCTTAGAAGTGCAACAATAATTTTCGTGTCACACTATTTTGAACTCATGACCAAATTTGGTAATGATTTTCTTTTAATGTAATATGTTCGTTAAACTTTTTTGATGTAAAGAACTTTTATTTATTAATAAAAAAAAGGAAATAAATAAGTCAAATAAACCAAATGTATGTTATAGAAAATATTCTATGAAAAAAAAACTTGTTACACGAAATTTACTTAGTCTCAATTTCTTAAGTGTATAACAAAATTCGGAATTTTCAAAATGCTAAGACTCTGCCAATTTTCAGTTTAAGAAAAAACCAGCCGATAAGTTTTGAAGCTTGAATCATGAACAATAAAACTTATCGGTCAAATTTTTTAAATGATATAATTTTTTTTTGTTTTAGTATTTTGAAGTTGACCAATTGTTAATTAATAACCATTCAAAATTGTCCTAGTTCTATGAAATAAATTAAAATTTCACCTTTAAATTAAAAACCATCGTTACCATTATGTTTAGATCTATATACTGTAATGTATTTATTATTTGTATTGGGAAAGCCATCTATTTATTTTAACATGGTACGCAAAAAGTAGATTAATTCATTATTAATATTTTTTATTTTTATTTACTGATTTTCAAGAATAATAAATATATAAAATTATAAAAAACGAACCAAGTCCAAGTCCAAGTTCAAGTAAGTATTGAAATTGTTTGATATTTTCTAGTCTTTAGAGTCTTTATTTAAATTTTATAATGCAATCTGTGCCAACATGATTATGAGTATAAAACATTAATGGTTTACGAAGGCACGAAGCTCAAAAACATAAAGAATATGATAGTCCGCCCACCTGTCATTAGAAGTTCTTGAATTTTTGGGGTTGTTACCAAGGTTGGATGACGAAAATAAATGTGACGAGATAGGATTTCTATGAGAATTTGACAAAAATGACAAAAATGACGAAATCAACAAGAGTAAATTAAAAAAAAAATTTCATGATGTCAAATTCTAATTCACCAATTCCTTCTCAATTGTCATCATAAATCTACATGCCAACATCATCCCAATTTGCTAAAATTGCAATATCCTTAAAGAATGCCTTAGATTTTCATGTGGGCTCATTTAAAATATAGATGTGGGTTGTCGCATGCTTGCCATATATGTTTATATTTATCAGTACATAACCTTTTGCTGGCACCAATGGTCATTGAAATTTTTTAGTAAAATAACTATAATCAAGTTGATTTTCATAGGAGGGTTCCACATTTAGGAACCTTGCATTAATTGCAACCTTATTATATCAACCCATGAATATATCTAAACTTTTTTTCGTTCAATGATGCAGGTAATGAAGGTAATTTAATTATCTATTTGAACATAAAGATAAATAGCGACTGTATATGATGACTGTTATTGGATTTCCACTAATAATAATAATTATTGTGTAAATTTAATTAGCAAACTGTCTTACTGCTGTATATGGCAAACATTTTCTCACTTGCAAGAAATGCGAGAGTCCAAAGAATAATACGAGATGTGAATACAGTGTATGTGTTCTTCAAGTGTTCATACATATTGCAATGATTCCTTTTAACAACATGATAATAAAACAGCATACGTAGATATGTTTCTTTGATTCTGTTTTCTTTTGTAGGATCTGTTTTTTTTTTTAACAATAAAAATAAAGATCCTTTTTGGAGGATTAATATATAGCACGAAAAATTCTCTGAATTGAAATATTCATTAACTGTGAGTTTTAGATCCAACCAATTCTGTCATGTGCTGTGCCGAACGAGTTGTGAATCCTTCTCTGTGTGATTGCCTTTGGTTCCTTTTGTAAATATTTGAAATTCTTTTTTCACATTAACATATTGGTATTCGGGACTTTTTGATAATTGTAAAGAAATTACTTGATAATTGCCCGTTCAGATATCACATTTCGTATAGTATAGATCTATGTCTATTAAAGCCTCATTAAAGAAGAAACTTTATGATTCAACAATTGTATATTAATTGTCTGCCTCTTGAGTGAAAACACACATATATTTTGCAAGAGCGTTAAAAACGAACGTTTCATAAAAGTGAATGATTAAAGTTACTGTTTAAGGTGTTTGAAGAAGCAATGTTTCTATTACTATTATAACCCTTTTTCAATTTTTCTATTACCATCTTACATAAATATCAAAATGATGGTTTTTTGGATGAAACATGTTCTTTGACATCTTCAAAGGTTCTTAGAGCAAGAAGTTTGTTTAATAATAATCAAATTAAAAGAAGAAAAAAACAATAATCAAAAGGATTGAATGATTTTTATTTGAATTTCGGATTTCACCAGGGATATTTTTGATTTCAAAACTTGAATTTTAAGCTATAAGCAAAAAAATTATTTATTATTATCATTATTACGAATTTCGATTTCGATTTCGAAAGATTTTAATTTTATTACATCATGTATGATTCATACAAGTTACTATGCATAGTAATCGTGGGGACACACACCTGGGGTATATACCCATTATTTTATACTACAGTGCATACCATTACTAGGAGACAGTCGATCAGGGGCCCGTAATTGCTAATTCATTAGCAGCCATTCAGAGGATCCAGCTTGTTAAAGTTTTTCCTTGTTTAACCTTTTTTGTCAACAAGAAAATGGCACTTTCAAGGTGTGAATGAATGGATAATTCTATTAAATCTGACACCGAGTTCAATATTTTGCATTTTTATTTTACCAGAAATAATTTTTAAGGTACTCTATAAACTTGAAACCGGAAGGGAAAACTATATTAACATTTCTATGGACCACAGAAACTCGCCATTTCTGGACGGTCTTTTTATTATTTATTTATTTATTAAATAAAAAGAGCAAGTAGAAAAGAATGGAAATTTATGTTTTTCTTTAAGAAATGTGTATGTCCTTTGCTGACTAAGGTTTTTTCGAAATTTGCTTTATAGTAATAGCAATTGTCCTTTTTATTACCAGGTATATTCTTTTCTCAATTATACCAAGATTTTGTTTATTGTTGTGAAATGTCATGCAATTAATGTGAATTTGTTTGTTACCTCAAATACATGCCATGCTTCAATTGTTTTGGTGTCGTTTTCCGATTGGAAATCGATAATTATTGTTTATAAAAGATACAAAAACTTATTATTTTTTCTCGATCCAAAAAAGTTGTACAAGAGTTTTATTATTATAATATAAACATATTGTGTATATATATATGTAAAGAATTAAACAATTTTTTTTTCAAGACACCAAAAATAAAATAAAAAATATTAATCTATAATAATAATGACTCATTACCTCATTGAAATTCAAAAAGTTAAAGAACGGTCAAATCGTTTGTGGTTTCCTACTAACAAAGGATTCTGTTGACTTTGCTTTACCCAAGTCCATCATCATGTTGCAGACAGAGACAATCTTAAACTTCACTTAAACCTTCTTCATTATTTTATTATATTACACATAGTATTATTAATTGCCACAATTGATTCATTTTTAATTGTAATTTCCTTAATAATAGTTTTTTTTTCATTATATTTTTATTAAAATAATTTATTATTTTTGTTGTTGAATTTCTATGCTATTATAAATGACTAGTTTTTAATTAATTTAAAATCTAATTATAAATTAATAAATTAAATTTTTTAATTTTCAGAATTAACTTTGGCTCCCTCAATATCAGCCAAAACCATTTCCTTTACAAGTGAATCAAAATCAACTTTACGTTTCCAACCAAGTTTATTATAAGCTTTAGTAGGATTACCGAGTAAAAGATCAACTTCAGTTGGACGAAAGTATTTTGGATCTACACGCACACGAACTATTCCAGTGTCAGCTTCACTTCCAACCATATCTTCACCTTCGCCTTTCCAAACAATGGTTTTATTAATTACAGCAAATGCTTTTTCAACAAATTCTTGGACAGTGTGAGTTTCACCTGTGGCTAAAACAAAATCATCTGGCTGATCTTGTTGTAACATCAACCACATCCCCTCTGATTTTTTGAAAGAAGGAAATAAATAATAATTTTTTGTGTTATAAATTATCATGCATCATGTAAATATATCATAGATAATAAATAAATGTAATAAATGTAATATGTCCTAACCAATATAATCTCTTGCATGACCCCAATCACGCTTAGAATCAATGTTACCAAGATATAGGCAGCTTTGTCTATTTAAGTGAATTTCAGCTACGGCTCTAGAAATTTTACGAGTTACAAAAGTACGACCTCTACGTGGAGATTCGTGATTGAACAAAACACCATTGCAAGCAAACATATTGTATGCTTCGCGGTAATTGACAACAATCCAATAGGCATAAAGTTTAGCTACACCATAGGGTGAACGAGGATAAAATGGTGTGGTTTCTGACTGTGGAGTTTCCACAACTTTACCATAAAGTTCAGATGTGGATGCCTATAAACACGTAACGAGGTAGATAGGTAGATGAATAGATAGAGAAAGAGAGGGAGATGGGCATTGATTTATTAATTGTTTGTATAAATGAGGCTGTGTGTGTATATGGAAATAATCGTTACCTGATAAAACCTAACATGATTTGTTAAACCAACAGTCCTTATGGCATCTAATAAACGTAAAGTTCCTAAAGCATCAACATCACCCTAAAA